GGGGAGCTGAGTAACAGGACAGGGGAGCTGAGTAACAGGACAGGGGAGCTGAGTACTGGCCTGTGACACAGGACAGGGGAGCTACTGTGGACTAAAAGGACCATCAATAGCTGCTGGGTGATTTGGGAGATCAGGATGGCCAAAAGTGCACTTTATTTTACCGAACGTGCTGAGAAAGCATTACACAGGCTAACACTGGGGGTCTGAAGAATATCATATTGTGTCAGGAGTCGAGGTCGGGTCTGGAAAGATGCACTAACTAGCACTGAAGTGGCAAATATGAGGTAGTGCTGCTCAGGCACTACTTCAGGTGAAATAATTGGAATACTCCTTAGATTGGTCACATCAAGATCAATATATGTATCATGATCAATACATCAATTGATAAATTGACTCACTTGCCTACTCATAAAAGCCAAAATCCATACATTGCACCAGGCAAGATGGGACTTTCTTTTAATACACTACAAATCATTTCCTGCATGCAATAGATTTGATATTCTCTTCTAATTCTGTTAAATTTTCTGTTTTTAAACTAAAATATATGAAATAAAAGAAATTTCAGCTCAGAACTCCAAACCTGTAAGTACTACTGTAAATCTCGAATAGTAGCAATAAGGATAAAAAAGGGTTTTGCATGTTTTAAATATGCTTTTTTAACAATGTACTGTGAGTGTCAATGTTCTCTATCTTCTTAGAGATTTCAATTTTCCTTTTTTCATCATGCTTAAGTAACTCTGTATTTGCCGTGCATACTTTACCTGCCATCCCATTATCTAAGCACAAAGCCAATTATAGCATATCAAAATGATCACTGATGACAGGAAAAAAGTGTGGAAAAGCTGCCTATTTTATTAATAGTTACAATTTGTTTCACGTTCACTCTTTCCAGATAGCACTCTTCCTTAATGAAGTGTCCCTGCTTCTGCGTCTTAATTGAGGGTGATGACAGGGTTCAATTACTGATGTGAAGGGACATCATATGAGTGCAGTTTCATCTCATTGTAGACCAGAGAGGAATTATCAGGGGTTGTTTTCACAGACTCTCATTGTTTCTAATGATGCCTGTTGATGGACAAACACGTTGGAGGGAAGCTGTTTCATTGGTTTCTTGTAGAGATATTATACAGGGCCAGTATGCTGTTGTAGTTCTGATGCATGTTATTGTATAGAAAGACAGAAATAACTTTGAGTTGCTTTTGAAAATCTGTATCACCACATTATTAGTGCACAGTAGTTTCAATTCATTGTTAATAGTGTTCTCTTGGCTTATTTACATTTAAAATAAAATCTACTTCACTTTCTAAAAGCATTGTAGCAGTAATTATTATTTATCACATGATAAATGAACTGAATATAAAACATTTTTTTGTCAAACCCACTTTCCTTTACACAACATTAATGAGATACATAAATTCAAACTACACCTGCAACACACTGTATTCAGCATATAAAAAATAAAACACAAGTTACCAGTAAAGGTTCATTCCACACTGAAAAGTAGGAATAATAAACAAAATTTCTGCTGTTGATGCTGCTTCGGGTGTGAGGGAGAGAGAGGAAGGTAGCAGAAATATAAAACACAGGAGGCAGAAAAACAAAGCAGGTGAGATAGGGTGTCCAAAAGAGAGATTTGGGGAAGAGGTGTGAAAAGCTGAAATCTGTAAATAAACGGAGAGGATTTAAACAGAAATTAGTCTGCTGTTAAGGGAAGGAGGAGGTGTGATTTATATTTATATTATTATATAAGGATAATCTTTAGCTGTTCTGGGGGAGTAGCAGTCCTGAACATCCTGTAAAACAGTGCGAGGTCAGTGAAGTGCTGTCCAGGAGAGGTGAAATGGAGAACTATCATCTTTGACCCTCATGGCTCTGACATATTCCATGAAGCAGACATACAGTCTTCTTCCTTTCTCACTGATGTACAGTAAATGTGATAACCTCATGCACAAGATGTTTTCTGGGTAATTGTAGGCCATGTACTTGATTTGGGTTGTCCTGACTATAACACATGTTTACATGTCATGCAGTGGCTTCAGTTACTAGAAAAGGTGATGAGTGTAGTCGGAAGCTGTGGGCAGTTAGGGGAACGATGGAACCACTGGGAAAAGCATTCCTGTAGCAGTGTCATCCTGTGGAATGTTACGTTTTCTTTGATGATCCAAGGGTGTTGAGGCGGAAGAGAAGCATCAGTGGAATATGGTTCTCAGTGTGGGAATTCCTCACCGGGTCGATGCTGTGAGAGCTGTGTCTGATTCAGGTGAGGGCTTTGTCAACGCAGCATGGAGGGTGTCTTGTCAATGAAGAAAGGGCACATTTTAAGGTCTTGATTTTGGAAATCTGTGCCCTCACCTCACAGTGGTTGAAGGCTGAAGAACTGTAAGAAAGGAGTTTTAGTGTTGAGTGTTTGGGGTGTTAAGATCTGTAAAGGAGATAGCTGTATGAATCACTGGGTATGCCAACACAGATGTTGAAAGTCCGTGATACACCAACAGTGAATTTTACAAACAGGTGAAAGTTGGTAAACATGATGCAGGAATTGCTGTTGGTCATTGCTGGTGGCCACGTCAATGTCATTTTTCATAGGAGCATCACTTGTAGAGGTCAGGGATAAAGCCAGCATAGGAGATGGAGAAGGATTCTTCTGATGAGCTTACCAAGATTTTGGCATGGGTGAGTCCCAGCATGGTACCTGTGGCACCTCCACTTAGCCGCTGGTTATCGAAATAAAATACAGTCAATGTGAGGGCCAGTTCAGCTAATTATACAAGGGGATGGGTAGGGGCATCAAGCACTGCGTGTGTTCGGACTTTGTGCCTGAGCTGTCAGACCATCATCGTGGGAAATGATGGTGTAAAGAGATGTGATGTCCCTTTGAAAATGAAATATTCAGGACCTTGCAATAGGACTCTGAAAAAACTGGAGAGGATGGCTGGTGTCATTAATATATGAAGGAAGCACTTCAACTAGCACAGATTTCATGCATGGTAGAATAGAATGAACTATATTGCTACCAGTTGTGGTTTTTTTTTGTATACTATTAATAGTTACTCATGCAGTTTATACCATCACATTCAGTATATTTTTTAAAGAACTACAGTACATGTACATGTCCTTCAAATAATATATTACGTTCCTGACCACCTGGTCATTAAAGATGCCATGCCGTTGTTTGCAAGAGTAGGTGTGTAACTCCTGGTGACCTGGCTGAAATCAACTCTGGTCTGTGCAGCCTGGCCTTTCTCAAGATCCCCAATCACGGACCTGGTGAAGCAGCTTCCCTCTCCTCTCCCTGGTCTGCTGTGTGTCTCCCAGGAGACGCTGTGCTCCAGTGGGAGATATGTGTCTCCTGCTATGTGTGAAGAATGTAGGGGTCATCACAAGGAAACTTGTGTTGTTTTGCTTTATATGCAATGATTATTATTATGATGCACTAACTTATTACCATCAATGTAATGTATTCCCCTGCCATACGTTTCACCATAGACATATTGTGCATCTGTAACTAAACCCCAAACTGTCACTTTTTCTGCAGATGTAATTCCTGTACTTTTGCCTTTCAAACACTGTAGACGAAGAATGTGACCGTGGACGGAGGATTTGGGCCCTGGTCGCCGTGGAAGCCGTGCAGCCACAGCGATGGGGGCAGCGTGGGCCCCTGTCTGTGCAGAGCCAGGTCCTGCGACAGCCCCAGCCCGCAGTGCGGGGGCCGGGCCTGCGAGGGCTCGAGTGTGGAAGTCACCAACTGCTCCAGGTGAGCACAGGGGTCACTACAAGGGAGCGCGTCTGTGCTCCTCTCCAGTTTGAGACAGCAGATACACACACCCGGGGTTTTCCCCCCAAGAAACAAGAGAGGGCTTCATCAGAACCGCTGGATGGGCAGCACCGGAAATGAGTCTGTATTTCAATCACACAGTTGTGGCATCAAAGGGCCATTGGCACTGTGTTTTCTGTATCATCACACGAGGCAAGTGAAGACTTGCTTAAGTGACTGGGCTTGGTCCCTGCACTTGATCGGATTAAGTCTTTTTTGAGGATTCCAAACCAAATGAAATTTTGGGTGCAGTTTTAATTGTGGTGGGGGGGGTGGAGCCGGTCTGTAACCTGGAATACAAGAGAATGGTTTGATCCATGGTGGGTGCTCACTGTGGGCCAGTTAACTGATCAGAGTGCTGCACAGGGAAAGAAGGTTGATGTAAGTTTTCCTGAGTGCCAGTACATTCAAAGTAAATCAGAACTGGCTATTGTGTCAATTATGACAGACTCCATGGTTTATAGACAGTGGCTTGTGAACACAAAAGCACCAGTTCAGGACACAAGAAGCTTGAGGATAGCTACCCTGGTCTCAGCATTTCACCAGCTGGTGATGGCCGAGTGGTCCTCTATCTCCCAGGAGATTGGTCAGCGCCAATGTCATGGAGTTGGACCGAATCGCTATTAAGGGATATTCTGTTAGGGGCATTCCCTTATCCTCTGATAGTGAAGCAGATGTGTGTGAGATGGCACTGATGCAGGGGGCACTGCGTGTCCCAGCTAACCTCTCTTCCAACACCAGGAATGGGGGCTGGACTCCGTGGTCGGCGTGGTCCCACTGCAGCACCAGCTGTGGGATTGGCTTCCAGGTCCGGCAGCGCTCCTGCAGTAACCCGGCACCCCGCCATGGAGGGAGAGTGTGCGTGGGACAGAACCGAGAGGAGAGGTACTGTCCCAAACGGCCCATCTCTCACACTGAACTGCGGCTACAGACCGGCTCAACGAAGAGAGCCTCTGTACCAATACCGTATTCCAGTATTCCCAGTTAGTGGTTAACATGTTTATTCAATCTTTATGTGGAAAACCACATGCACGCAGAAACATACACTGACCTTGCAGTTTGCAAGAGTAATTATAGAATAATTGTCTCAGAATTTAAGGGAGCTCTGAAGACGTTTGAGGTATCTTAGCAACCTGCGATGTCATTGAGAATTTAAAAGGAAAACATTCTTCAGAAACAAAAACCATCCCCAGATTCGCCTGGTACGCCAGTATAGGAGCCGTCTGCAGGTCCCAGAGGAAGATCTCTGTCTGCGCCTCTTTAATTCTTATTAATGGATTCCATTATGATAATAGCCATTATTTCCAGGTTGTATACATGCAATTGCAGGATTAAAGGTATCGCTTTCTCACTGCAAAATACAACATTCTAAATCATAGTGTGAGTTTAACAGCCTAATTTTTAATGGAGTTTATAACAAAAGTTCGTAGGGGATGACAACAGCCAAGTTCAATCACCGTCAGCTGTTTAATTTGTAATCAATCATGACAACATTTCCTCACTAAAATATAATAAATACTGTACATAATCCCCTTCTCTCCCTCGCATCCCTCCTCCAGCCCATCTCCACCTCTGCAGCTGCCCCTTGGTCACTCCTCTTTCCGCAGGGATTCTCAGTTCTCTCGTCCTGTGGCCTAGAGGGCTAAGACAAATTATTATAACTTTAAATGCTCCATAAACCTTTTAATACACTTAATGCTTAGCTGTTGTCATTCCTAGTGAGATAGTTTTAGTAAGCCATCCATTTTCATTTACCGCTTAGTGCACTACAGGATCTCGGTGAGCAGAGACTACCCTGGGAGTCCATAGGTGCCAGACAGGAAACACCCTGAACAGGACGCCAGTGCATCCCAGGGCACACACACTCACACACTCATGCATGCCAACTCAGACCATTAAGGGGTACTAGTTCATCTCCGCAGCCTGCCTTGTACTATGGGAGGGGACCAGAGCACTCAGGGAAACCCCACAAGGACAACGTGCACCCCGGTAGGGTGCAGAAGCCAGCAGCACTTTCCTGCTCCTGCTTGACATGGGAGGCTGGAGAAACTCAGGGTCTCTCTCTGCATCAAGAACGCAGAGTGGGAAGCACATGCACAAAACCATTCAAACAATCAAATTAATGCACTTTTGAGGCCTAAAATAGAGCCCTGATTTTGTATGAGTTTATGTATATATATATAGTTTGCTATTTTTCGCTGTGAAACATGTTTTCTGGATATTGTGCACATATCTGCCCTAAATTGTACACCACAACCAAGAAGTATTGCACTGAGAAATGAAAGAAGATAATCTTTTTCCAAGTTCTGATTGACAATGCAGGGAGGTCAGGGAGAGTGTTCTGGGTATGGTATATAATTGTATAATGTAATGCTGAAAGCAGACCAAAACCTCAGATAAAATAACTGATTATATCCCGTTTGCAGTGAGGTTAGATATCTGACTCTTCAACATGTTTAAAGACAAAAATACAATCAATTAGTATTTCACTCATACAAGCCTTCATTTTGGAGTCAAAAGCGTTCATTATGTGTCTTTGACAAGTTCATTTCGTTTTTATTTTAGTCAATAAGTAATTTCTCCATTAATGCAAATTGCATAATCTAAAATTGAATAACTATTTATGTTCCAAATTGATTGCTGAGTACTCTGTATTAATCTGCTCAGACCACTGATGGCTCCAGCACCCAGCGGAACTGTCCCAATCCCCAAGAGCAGATCTCCTCCCAGTGCCCCCCAGTCTTCTGAGGACGTGTTTGCATGGGGGAGAAATGGACTGGCCCTCCTTGTGACCCTGTAATATAGTGGGTTTCCAGCGAGACCTGTTCCCAGCGCTGGTGTGTTCCTGGCTCTCCAGCCCACGCCTGAGGTGGCGCTGTCCCGGGCCGTGCAGGCAGCAGGCTGGCAGAAGGCAGTGGAGTGCCTGGCAGCGGCGGCTCTGTGGCTAAGGATCTGTGTCTGTGACTGGAAGGTTGCTGGTTTAAATCCCACAGCTGGCAGAGGAATCCTACTCCCTTGGGCCCCTGAGCAAGGCCCTTAACCCCAGCTGCTCCAGGGGTGCTGTACAATGGCTGACCCTGCGCTCTGACCCCCAGCTTCTCTCTCTGTCTGTGTGTCTCATGGAGAGCGAGTTGGGGTATGTAAAAAGATGAATTCCTAATGCAAGAAATTGTATAGGGCTAATAAAGCAAGATTATTATTAGCAGCACAGAGCAGCAAAGCTCGGACACCTGGCAGGACGCTCTTGGCCGGGTATTTCTGTTAACCAGGCAGTTTTACTATAGCTGTGAAAACATCCCTGACTTTTTCAAGGCTTTTTGGGTTCAGGGAATATGAAGGCAGGGATTGTTCGAGTGCTGATATAGGTTTAATGTGTTTTTGGAAGGGGGACGGGGGTTGTAAAGTGAAGAGGGTTCATGTTTTCGTTTTGATTTAGCGGGAAGCGTTGGTCTTCCTGAGCTCAGATGTCTCCAGTCTTGCAGCTGGGGTCTGTGTTAGTTTGTTATAGGTGGAGAGCTCCTTTCCAAAGAATTCAGCTTGTATGCACAAAGTCACACTTTTGTGCTGTCTTTTGAATAAAGGCATTCAGTGCCCCTCTCTCTCATGCCAGATGGCTGTGATTAGAGTAGGAGAGGCTGTGCCTGCAGCTCACTGGCAGCTGGACAAAGGTGGATTCTTGGCAAGAGCAGCACGTGTGCAAGACCTTGAAGCTGAAACCCTGGCCTCAGCAGGGGTCTTCCAGAGTGCAGCACCAACTGTGTCCCACACCTTGTACCGAACTGGGTACCGGACAACCCTGAAATCCCAGAATTCCCAAACACTTGCCTGTCGCGCCACTTATTGTCAAGCAGGTATTAGAGAAAGTCCTCCCAAGACACTCTAGGGTAAACTGCCTTCAAGCATAGAGGTAGATTGTAAATGTAAATAGGTACACAAGTTTTATACTACATATTTTCGGGTTATTTGATCTATTTAATTTGCTTTTTAAGAAAATTCACAGCAATTTTAAAAAACTTTCACTAATTGTGAAATAATCCATAAATACCATAAATCTTTATACTACGTTAGTGTCTTTTACGTGTTCTGGGGCAGGCGTGTCAAACCTGCGGTCTACAGGCCAGACCCAGCTCAGGCATCTTCATTGATTAGCGTCTAATGAAGTCGCAATTAACACTTATTCCATTTTAAAGGTATTTTTGTGTAAAATAAACACCAAAAATGCAAAATGGTGCACATACATAATAATATTTAATGGTTTTATCAGGTATTTTGACGATTTGGGGTATGTGTGGCCCTCTTGAAGTACAGTTAAACCAAATCTGGCTACCAAAGCAAATTAGATGACATTCCTGTTTTACGGGGCTTGAAATGTGGGGCAAAAATTGACAAATTGTTTCTCTACAGAGATGTTCACTGCTGAGATGTCTCAAAAAGTCTTTCTTTCTTTTCCATTGTGCATTTAAGTAAAGGAAAGATTTAGCTCACAGTATCAGTGTCTGAGGTGTTTCCTGCAAGATATAACTAAGTTATCCAAACCTAAAAGGAACAAAGTAAAAGCAGTGCATCCAGCTTAGAAATGGTTGCCTTACAGAGCAGCGCTGCAGGTCATTTTGTCACAGCGACAGTGCGTTAATGCAATTATGGTTGCCATTAAAACAGGGCAATATTCCATAAAGGGAAAAGGTTATTTCTCTTAATCTTTTAGCACAGATGTCACTCTTTGTGCTTTTAATGACTCCACACAGCACCTAAAGAAATTGCTTCACTGTAATACTTTTTCTTTTCTACTTCTTTGTTTTTTGTTCATTTTTTGAAGGGAACTAGGTTCAGAAAATGTAAAAATCAGTTTAAGTGAAAAAACAATGGTGGCACTCAGGTGAGAAGCTATAGAAGATCGACAGTGTGCCTCAGCCAAGCAAAAAAGCAATAAATTATTAACCAGGAGGCATATAATCTTCCTCTTTTGTCAGACATCTTTGTTATAGGTTATTCATCCAAAATAAAATGTGTCTGAAGACAGCAAACTTCATTTTGCTGTGATATTATGTCTCATAAATGTCTCTAATCAATATCACTTCAATGGCTTTACTGGATCCTCTGTAACGATATATGTGCATAAATGTGTTCAATTCAATTCAATATATTCAGGATTTTTTGCTCTTAATTTGCTCTTTATTTTTTCCTGCAATACTAATAAACAAAACTCCTGTGTGTGTATATATTTAGCAACATTTATATTTCATTTAAAAGTGATGTTATTAAATCCATCTCATACTCTTAGTGCTGTTGACATTAACACTAATTAAACACTAACACTAACACTGACATTAAGTGTTGAGAATTTTGCAGTAAACAGTATAATTGTGGGATTAAAACATTATAAAATAGATTATTTGAATTTTCACAAAATTCTTCAATTTTTAGCATACTGTATGTAGCTTATTATAAAACTGTTTTAAACATGTATTATTCTGTAATGAACCTCCTTCGTGTGTTATGGTAAATGGAACTGTAAATTGTCTTGTGGCTATTTTGGTATGAAGCATAAAAGCTAGAGGATAAACAGTGATAATCTCTTGGATGCTTCATTATATTCAGTTTCTAATTTGATTTTAGAGGTTCCAGTCTGTTTTCATCCCCCAAGAAGCACAAATGGTCAATTAGCTGTAAACTAAATGATCCAAGCCGGTGGTGTGTAAATTTCCCTAGGACACGAGCGATATCGGCTCTGTCTGACTGTGAGTGTGACTGTGAGGAAGCCAGTGTTTGGTGGTAATGTTATTCTTGCATAGATTCATAAAACCTTAACTCTAGTATACATAAAATACTGTATATACGCCATCTTTTAGAAAAGTTTGTGTGCTTTTAGAAACTTGCATGATTTCTTGATTATTTTCTGTTTCATATTAATTATTGTAAAACCTTCCTTGTTGATTTGGTGAGACTTCCAGGCTACAGACTTCAGCAGCTTCAAAATACTGGATCAATCCCTACATCCATTTTCTTAACTGCTTTTTCCAATACAGGGTCACAGGGGACACTGAAGCCTGTCCTGGCCAGCAACAGGCACAGTGCAGGATAGACACCAGCCTATCTCAGGGCACACACAGACACAAACACACACACGTTCACACGAGAGACAGTTTTCCTAGAAGCCCATTTTTTAAATTTATTGTCATGTCATGCCAGTCTTGAATCACCGATTTACTTATTTGTTTGTCTGTACATTGACTCCTGGACTGCACAGGTAGAACTGAGGAGGGACAAATAAGTTTCTCCGATCTGGCAAACCCTCGAACCCTCATCTTTTGTCACATGGACATCTCCATTCGCCTCACAGGAGACTTGGTGCTGGCTGGAGCAGGGGTGCATCCCTGCCTGGCATCCCTGCAAACCTGCAGGTTCCCAGGAAGTTTGGGAAGCCCCTTAAAGAATGAAGCCATCTCTTGATATCCAATATTCCTGTCAGCATTAAGGTCAAAAACATCTATGGAAATACACCCGTGTTTGTAACCGAACCTGGAAACAGCCGACTCTGACTCTGTCTGTCCTCTCCCTGCCAGATACTGTAACGAGCACCTGCCCTGCCCACCGCATGTGTACTGGTCCAGCTGGGGGCCCTGGGAGCGCTGCACTGCGCCGTGCGGAGGGGGGGTGCAGGCGCGGCGGCGCACCTGCGAGAAAGGGAAGGACTGTCCAGGCTGCAGCTTGGTAGGTGTCTCCTCGCACCTGAGCTCGAACCTCCACTCAGCTGCGCTCGGCTCGGTAGCTTCACACGCTGTCCGCACTCGGCTCGAACCCGCGCTCGGCTTGGCCGGTTCTCGCGCTCCTTACACTCAGCTCGAACCCGCGCTCGGCTCTCAGAGGCTGATGTCGAATACTCGCTCGGGCTTCACTCAACTAGTTGGCATAAGGAAATGCCACCATTGAAGATTCTGCTTTATATACTGTATAAAAAGCAGTTTACCTTAAAGCGGAATTTTAGTTTTCTATGTTTATTAGTGAATACAATTAAGCAGGTTGTAATCTGCAACTCCGTTGTGCAAAATAGAATACCATTAGAAGACTACAGAACTTCAAATCACATTATATCAACGTTTCTTTGAGATGTTCCTCTGTCAGAATAGTGCTTCATATTCTGAAAACACGTAACCAATACTTTCTGACATATTGAAGACTGAGGTGCTGGATTTTTGATGGGCTGTGTCTCGGCTTGTCTTCAGGGTTTAGTACCTGACTGTGGATGGTGTGCAGCTGAGCCAGTCAGCTGTCATCAGAGCTCTTCATTGTACAGTAAAGCAGTGACACATCCACTTAACAGCTACTGCTGTAAATGATTCTTCTTTGCTGGTATTCCACATGTGAATTCTCACTTTAATTTTTTAATTTTTCACACTAACTCAGTACATAATATAGTGCTGTTCAAAGGTAAATCATCAGAGCCTTAGAGATTGATCTGCTCTCTGGACAAAATGTCAATCTGGTTTGTTTCTTATGCAATAGGAACATATGTCCCACAGACAAATTAAAGATGTTGGAATCTGACTCCTAATACTTAAAAGATTAAAGATAAAAAAAGTCTCAAATAGAGTAACAAATAACGAATTCCTTGCCGATCCAGAATTTATATTTGTGAAAGAGTGAACAGGACACAGGTATAATAACTTATACAGGTATACTGTACAGGTATAATACGCTTGTAGCATTTCTACTGGTCTGTCGTCTGGATGACACTGTAGAAATAAATGTACAAGCTGCTACTTTTGTCAGTTAATTCGTGGATACATTTCAAAGACATGATCTGTGATTCATCCAGCAATGTTCCAGCATGCTTTGTGTCTGTTAAAATTACTTAAAATTACTGTATCCACATATTCCTTTGTGGAAGGGGCTAATTGGCAGTGCTTTTCTAACACCAAGCCCATAAGAGAGTTTGCAGGGAACCAAAATATGTTAATAAATAAATACCAGAAGCATGAAACACATTCTTCCTTGAATTTAGATTTTCACTTACTGTAACTGTTTACTCTAACTTCTGATCATATGTGTTGCAGATGACAGATTTGCAATACTGTTCATCAGACATGAAGTTCAGTCTACCTTTCACCATATGGAATTAGAGCCTGTGAGGTTAACAGAACATACAAAAGTGATTGTTCAGCTAATTAAATATACTACATCCATGTTAATTGGCAAACTTAAATCCCTAAAAAAATAATACTACAGTAGGAGAATGTGTCCCTAATTAACTACTGATAACCTTTTTCAAGAAGTATTTCTGTTTTAATAGTCTTTCAAATGATACCATGTCCATTGCTGATTATCAGTGCAATTACAGTATATCATATCAGCAGGAAAGGATGATAACTCACCATGTAATTAATGTAGGATTTTTAAAGATGATTAATAACCTTTTGAGCCCCACA